CCCCCCCCCCCCGTGGCCCCCCAAGGATGCCCCCCCCCCCCGCCCTCTTGTACTCTTCATTTTTATAGGTCCACCTGGCCACAGAAACATTATTTTCAGCACCTGTTTATTAGCCATCTTTAATAACCTCATATATTAATAAATGGGTGATATGCTATCTTGGAATTATATGGCCGGTTTTGGCAAAGAGGTCAGACATCAGTATTGCTCAGTGCATTTTTCATTTACTAGAAAGTGTGAATTTGCCTAATTTTCTTTGTTAACCTTTGTCGAAGTCATTCCTGTAAAATCTGGCACTTCCCCTTTCTTTTTCCTCCTCCCCCAGCTCTCTAAACTCCAGTGCATTGACAGAACAGTCCGTCTTCCAGAATGGCTCTCACAAGATTGCTGAGGGATTTTTTTTTCTTCTTTCATCTCTCTTTCCAATAGGTTTTATCACCCTGTTCCTTGAGTTAGTGTGAAGTGAACAGCCAGAAAATGAGGGGAAGCCTTGATCAGTTAGCCTTAAACTCTCGGTTGCACTCCTAATTTGGAGATACATGATGGAGTTCTGTGGCTCATATGCCTTCATGTTTCCTTGCTCGCCACACCACAGCAGATAACGAGTCATTCCTGTCCTCTTGCTAAGTAGTACAGAGGCACCTTTGCATTCTCATTCCCTGGCAGCAGTGTTCAAGTCTTTTAACTTTCTGCTGCAAGACCCCCCTCTCCTTCTGTGTAGAAGTTCGAGGATTCAATGATTAAGGAATCAGTCACTGTGAAGTCTTTGAAGGACAGATGTGAAGTGTCATGATACGCTCCTTGGGACCTTGGCTAATTATTATTTCATCTGAGAGGGGCCCTGCCTCTGGATGGCTAGCTAAAAGTGTGGGAGTCTGACCGATAGTAGTAATAACCCACTTAACCCACTTCCTGTGTACCAGGAACTGTGCTTGGAACTTTGCACAGACATTAATTCATTTACAGATGCACCAGCATACTTAGTGTCTCCGATTTCTATTTTTCAGGTTGAAAATTGGTGTCCTCATTTACCTTGGAGAGCAAAAAATCCCTACGAAGAAGCTGATCGTAATTCATTGGTAAGTGATTTTGGAAACCTCTTACTAGGCTTGTGATTTGAGTATGATGCCAAGTGATACATGTGGAGTCTTCTGCCAGCTGTAATCTGAAATAACGGTAAACGGAAGAACTTCTATCCCCAGCCTTGTGGAAGTCTGAGTGACCAAATCAGTCAACCAGTTAGCATATGTTTATTTATTGAGCAGTTCTCTGAGGGTTCCTACGTGATAGGCTACTGATACGAATAAGACCTGGTGCCAGACGTGGAGGCGCCCAGTGATTTAATAATGAGGGTGATGGTTGTAAATAATGACCGTGTCAACACTGAAACATAGGCCCATGGAAATTAATAAAGAAGTGGCGATCTCAGCCTGCATGGGTCAGGAGAGCATGTAAAGAGAAGATGACCTTGGAGTTGAATTTAAAGCGATGGATGAGTTTATACCAGGTCAAGGAGAGAAAGATGTCTCTGATGGCAGGGGGAAAGGTACCTGTACAAGAGCGTGGCATTTTCAGGGAGTAGAGCCTGGTTCAGTGGGACAAGCCCATAGGGGTTTGGATGAGCTGGAATGAAGATGAAATGGGAAAGGTAGGTAGGGGCTGTGAAAAGCTTTGTATTGAAAGCTCAAGTCTTTATTCTTCACCCCAGGGATCAGCTAATTTTTTTCTGTGACAGGCCAGATAGTAAATATTTTCATCTTTGCAGGCCAGATCTCTGTTGCAACTACTCAGTTCTGACCGGTGGCACAGGGCAGCCCTAGGCAATGTGTAAATGAGTGGGCGTGACTGTGTTCTGATAAAACTTTACTACATAGAGGGGGATTTGGTCCAAGAGCCAGAGTTTGCTGAGCTTCGCTTAGACCATGGGATTCTTGGGAAACTGTTGAGTCAAGGACATGGTCAGATGAGTGTTAGAATGAACTATGGTACCTGCTGAAAGATGGATTTAGTGAATGTTTTATTTAGATGTTATATGAAAAAAATACTAGTGTTATTATTTTTCTCTGTTATTTCAATTGCTGGTTGCGTCCAGCTATCTTAGAAAAATAGTCTTCCTGACTTTTAAGTTATTTTGGCTTGAATTTTTTTTTTTTTTTAGATTTTTGACTGTGTTGGGTCTTTGCTGCTGCACGTGGGCTTTCTCTAGTTGCGGTGAGCGGGGGCGACTCTTCGTTGTGGTGCACGAGCTTCTCGTCGCGGTGGCTTCTCTTGTTGCGGAGCCTGGGCTCTAGGTGTGCGGGCTTCAGTAGTTGTGGCACATGGGCTCTAGAGCGCAGGCTCAGTAGTTGTGGCTCGCGGGCTCTAGAGCGCAGGCTCAGTAGTTGTGGCTCACGGGCTTTGTTGCTCCGGGACCGGGGCTCGAACCCGTGTCCCCTGCATTGGCAGGCGGATTCTTAACCACTGCACCACCAGGGAAGCCCTTTTGGCTTGAATTTGAAATTTTATTCAGTTACTATAGGAAAATGGTATTCCTGGCTTTTAAATTCCTTAGAAAATAATAAACTTGTTTGTTTGGATTGGGACAAAACTAGAGGATGAGCATTTATTTCCCTACTTAAATTTGTGGACAGAATGAGGCTTTTTGGCAGCCTACACAATGGCAGGTGGCCTGTTAATAATTGACTTCAATTTTCCCAGGAGTCTGCTACCCTGCAGTAGATCAAGGGGCCAATAAATTCGGGTGCAGAGAATTTCAAGGTGTATCAAGCACATTCACTGTAAAATATGCATTTTTGACGTAGCTCAGGGCTTTGCAAGTCTGTGCTGCCTTTCTCCACTTCTGATTTTTTAATGATGTCCCTTATAGCAGCGCAGCAGTCAAGAGGCCTTTGCCTCAATTTGCAGTCCTGGGAGCTTCAAGCAAAGCTGTTCAGCAGACCAGACTTTTGAAGCCCTGTGTTTAATTGACTATCTCTTTCAAGTTTTCAGATGTCACATCATGAAAATGATTATGCTTTCGGACTTCTTATCTTCTACTCATTTTTATTAAATTTCTGTTTCTAGACAGAAATTCGTACGGATTTTAATATTCTCTACAGTATGATGAAAAAGCATGAAGAATTCCGATGGATGAGACTACGGATCCGGCGAATGGCTGATGCGTGGATCCAGGCAATCAAGTCCCTGGCAGAGAAGCAGAATCTTGAAAAGAGAAAGCGGAAGAAAGTGAGTTTCTGATTAATTCACTTCAGTTGGATGCCAGTTTTCTTGAAAATTTGATTTCCGTGGAGACAAGACTAAGAGAAATGTCATGTCTCAAATGATATTCCCTCAGGGTGAATCTGTGCAGTCTCTTCTTGTACAGCCATTTTTGGGGCTGGCCTTTTCCCCGATTACAATAATTATACTTAGCAGGAGCTGGTACACATGTTTCTTGGGTGAAGCCAGGCAGAATATCTGCTTGTAAGATTTTGCTATGAACCCTCTGACTCTGTCTCAGTGGCATCAGGAAATTTAATTCTCTCTTCTTTACCCGAATACAATCTGGAAGAACTTCCTGTTTACATCATCATGACAATTTCATATTCTTGGTATGTGTCAGCTCTGGCATTTGGGCAACTAACCGGTGAGTTTCATTGCTGTTCTGTTTGGTGGTGCTTCTGCTTATGTTCCTGAGAGAGAGATACGATCAATTAAACTTGAGCCAATTTGTTTTGAAGTTCATGAGGAGATGCTGGGGAAACCTCTGTAATATCCCTGAGCATGAAGATCTTATACCCTATTAGTTATACATCAAGCAGCCATGACTTTAGATGAACTATTCTGATGAAGAATAAATGAGAAAAGTAAACAATCTGTTCCCATATCTAAAAATAAATGAAAAATGAGTTTAGTATTCCTAACTTGACTAATTTGATACCTTTGGGGCAAAAATACAGATACACTTGCAGAACCCCAAGTCACAGTTTAATGAGTCAGTTTTGCTTAGATCCCTTGAGTTTATGAGACAGCAGGACCAGACATCCTGGCATCAAAGAGTCCTCCAGGAAAGAGTATGTGGTCATAGATCCAGGTGAGCTATGAAAAGAAAGAGTAATTTCTATATAATCCTCTGTAGTTATCTCCAGGATATATTGTTATGTGAAGACATGGTAGGTGGAGAATAGTGAACATTATTTTTAAAAGGAGGAAGGAATTTATCTATATATCTGTATCTACACCTACATGTGTACCTATAGATATATACATACACACACACATATATACACAAATATAATGTATATATGATATACATATATGCTTCTTGCTCAGATTTTTTAAATGGAATAGCAAAGCATGCAATTAAAAAATAAAGGAGATGGATGGTGGTAATGGTTGCACGACATTGTGAGTGTACTTAATGCCACTGAACTGTACACTTAAAAATGGTTAAAATGGTAAAGCTTATGTTATGTATGTTTTACCACAATAAAAAGATGTCTAATAAGGGGAGTCAGCGGGGGTGGTGTAGAGGCAACAAGTATAGAAACTAGACTTCTCTGAATATATCTTGCTTTGTAGATTTGACACTGGAATCATTTTACTTAAGTGTAAAACAATTTAATTACAAAAAAAATCATAAGGAAAAAATAAAACAAATGAACTGACCACGTGTCCACTTTTACTCTCAGCGCATAGAGAAGGGCTATTCTTAGTGACTTCAGAGCACAGTACTTTGAATATTTCTGATGGGATATCACAAATGATAAAAAAAAAAAAAACTGCAAAAATATCTTAAAACAATTTTTCTAATCCTGTAAGAGGTGGTGGTGGTGATATTCTCCTTCCGAATCCATTATGTGTCTTGGAATAAAGCAAATTAGCAATTATGTTAGTGTCCTGGAGAAGTGGAATTTTCAATGTGGGAGAGAGGAAGTAACAGATGTGAGATGGATAATGTTATAAAAATTGATAAAGCTGCTGTAATCCTGGGTTTGAATTGGAAAAACCAGTGTGAACTCATGATTATTTTTATCCTTGAGGAAAAATGAATTTTCTAGCTATGTCCACTGAAAAGGCCTATAAACAGTGATCATCTAGAGTATGCTAGGCACCAGACTTTGATCTTTAAATACCATTTTCACTAAATGGTCTAAAAGGTTCTTGGAAAAATGGCTGATTAAGGCCTGAGACAGACATTGTACAAGATGAGCTTGGAACGCCTGTCGTGTTAGAGAGCAAAGAAACTATCGAAGACTACTAGGGTTTTTTGTCAAAGAACTTAGAAGCCAACTTTGATAGTCTCCCGTTGCCCAAGGTGGCACAATTTCATAATCCATAGGAATAATAACTGCAGTTATTGAAACACATCAAATATACTTATATTCATGATTTTATAATGATATATATATATATATATATATATTTAAAATCCTCATTGGTCATCATTAGAGTTCACTAAAGATCAAATTAGTTATTTTGAAAACTGTCGAGTAAAAGGAAAGAATCAAGTATTTGCCAGGTTTTTCTATGGAAGCTGTCCTTCGTGAGGGGTAGTTTCTCTTTATAGAAGTATTGCAGCTAATAAATGCAGAAGGAATGATAGAATATCACCATTTGCAACCCCTAATGGATTATTGCATCTGGTTAGTGATCATCAGTAGCTGCTAACATCACAAAACAGAAACACCCAGATTTTGTTCTCACCACTGGAAGTACACGGCACCACCTGTTAAGTAGTATTGCCCCAAAAATCAAATACAAATTTGATCATGGCTGCAGATCTGATTACTAATTTACCATAAACACAAGGGACAGAAGAATCTGTTACACAGTCAGCAAAATCTAGAGTGTGAGAGACTCTATTGGAAATACAACCCAATTTCTTTGACAAATAAATTACAAGCCTCTGTCCCCCCGCAAAAAAAGGATAATCGGGCACCACTGTAGGTTAAAGAAGAGATGTATGAGGCATTACAATTTGTGCATTTTATTTGACTTCTGACTCAACCAACTGCTCTTGAAAAAAATAAGTGACAATTGAGCAAGTGTATAGACTAACTGGATATTGGGTAATACTAAGGATTTAATAGCTATGTTACGGGCGTTGGGGTGATGTTACAGTTATGCTTTTTAAGTGAAAGTTTGTTTCTTTTAGAAATGCCAACGGAACTATTTACAGATGAAAGGTGGGGCTGTCTAGGATTTGCTTCAAGATAAGCTAGAGGGGTTGGGAGAAAATGAGGGATGTACATTAAATAAGACTTGTCAGGAGTTAATCATTGTTGAAATTAATAATTGTTGAGTACAGTGGCATTGACTATATTGTCATGTCAGCTTTTGTTAGTGTTTGAAATTTTCTGTGTTAAAAGCTTAAACATATTCCAGCTGTGGAAAAAAAAGCCCAATATAGTTAAAAGATATTTTATTGTCCTACTTGATTCCCCTTTAATTCCGATTTTCGAAATGTACCCCATTTTTGGAAAACAGGATTATCTGTCCCTACCTCATACTAATAGCCATACCAAATGCAGTAATGACTTTATTTCTCTAAAACAACAATGAAAAATCATTTCCTTCCTTTCTCTGTACCTTCTAGAAAAATTGTTTACCCCATGTTGAGATTTCATTAGAACGTAAACATGACTTTGGAATTGGTGGTGGCTTTTTGGTAGGTTACTGTGGAGTTTGTACTTTGTCTGACGGGAATCAGTATGTGCCTCTTCTTTTTTTTTTTTTTTTTTTTTTTCCAGGTCCTTGTTCACCTGGGCCTCCTGACTAAGGAATCTGGATTTAAGATTGCAGAGACAGCTTTCAGTGGTGGCCCTCTTGGTGAATTAGTTCAGTGGAGTGATTTAATTACATCTCTGTACTTACTGGGCCATGACATTAGGATTTCAGCTTCACTGGCGGAGCTCAAGGAGTAAGGAGATTATTTTTCAATTTTAAAATCAGAATACAAAAAAGAAATTGTAAACTCTTAAAGCCCTCTCTTGGTGTGTAATTTCTTGTGGAGTAAAATGAAAGTGATAATTCACGAAACAGGAGATAAGAAGATTATTTTCAGAAGCTAAATACATACACTGTGAAAAGGCTAATATGTTTTCATTGTAGCTGCAGGCTCCAGAGGCTTGATAAATGAATGCCAGAAAATTCAAACTAAGGAGCTTATTCTTTGCTGTTACAGGTGCTTCCAGCATCTGCAGCAGGAAACATTATTGACTTTCCTAATTCCCTGTCTCTTGCTGAAACTCATACCCTTCCCTACTCAACAGCAAGCTTTCTAAATCTTCAAACGGGGCAGGTTCCTGTTTGCAATTTAATTTGGATAGAATGAGTTTCTTGAAAGCCCTGATCCAATCCTATTTCAGTTAGCCTACTTTCAACTCTGCCTGGGTTTTTTTATTTCACTGAAGTGTGCTTCTAGCTCAAGCCCTCTCTTAATCCCTTTTAGATTGACACGACTGGCTAAACAGAAATGCTTAGAGCCCCTTCCCTCCTTTTTGGATAACTGCCCATGGAGACTGTCTACCCAACAGCCAAGTTAACATCTAGCAATATGTCAACTGTTCCAAGAGAAATGGCTTGAAGGAACATTCTAGAAATGGGAGAGGTGTTAAGACAATGTATGTCTCACCCTGCTCCTACTTTATTGTCTAAAACATTGATGCCCAGAGAGGTCACTTGTGTTAAGTCTGAGGTCCACATTGGATTAGACGCAGTATCGGGATGAAAGTAGTAATATCCGTAAAATAATGTCAGCTCTCTTTTTGTTAAATGATTTCCATACACTGAAACCATGAGCCGGGCTTTAGTTACAGTGGTAGTATCAACAGTTACGACAACCATAACAGTGATGATGCCTATTAAGAGCCAACATTTGGGGGTTTTCCCTGGTGGTCCAGTGGGTAAGATTCCACGCTTCCAACGCAGGGGACCCGGCTTCGATCCCTGGTCAGGGAACTAGAACCCGCATGCATGCCGCAACTAAGAGTCTGCATGCCGCAACTAAGGATCCTGCATGCTTCAACGAAGATCCCATGTGCTGCAACTAAGACCCGCAGCAGCCAAAATAAATAAATATTAAAAAAACAAAAAAAAGCTAACATTTGTTGAGCGCTTCCCGTGCACCAGTTACTAAGTGTTTTACGTGTTTTATGTTATTTAGTCCTAAGTGCAAACCTGGAAGTAGGTACTGTTGCTTTCTGCATTTTAAAGATGAGGAAACTGAGATTCAAACCAAAAAAGATTTCCTCAAAGTCCCATGGAGAGTACGTGGAAGAGCCAGGATTTGAGCCCTCTGTCTGTCTGACCTCAAAGCCTGTGCTCTTGACCACCGAACCACAGTGCTCTGTCCAGAACTCGATAAACCTGAGTTCTTCTGAGCCCTTCACCACTTTTGTCCCTTTAACAGCTGCCTCCTGTTGCCTTCCTCCTGCTTCTTTTAAAACACACTGGGGAACACAACGTATGAAGTGGGTGCCTTCATACATTGAGCGTTCATTCCTTCAGTGCTCTCTGTGGGCTGCTGCTTGGTATGGGACATACAGAGATGACCAGTGTGTGGCCGAGGAGATGCCAACCTTTTGATAATTACCACTGATACGTTGCACAATATTGACACTAACTGCAGTGTGATTAGTTCTAATTGAGGTGAGGGTGCTCAGCACAGGGAGTGCAGAACCTGTGAATATTGCTCACCACTGTGTATTGAGCACCTAGGACAGTGCCTGGCACACAATGGGTGCCCATAACTATTTACTGAACAAATGAGTAAAGGGATGAATGAATGAGTCGGGGGTAAAGAAATGGAGTACAATGGGAGCTCTGGGGATAGGCACTCCCCAGGGAGCTCCGAAAAGGCATATTAGGGATCTACCAGGCAGAGACTTAATTTGCTGGTCAAGAAGATTATGGAGGTCTTTAAGCCCTGGTGACAGGGCCAGTTGTGTTTTATTTGAGTAGATACTTGTGGAAGCAACGTGGAGCAGTGGTTCCCAAACATGCCTGCACATTAGAATCACCTGGGGATCTTTTTAGGCTCCCTAAGCCCAGACCATATCCCAGACTAATTAAATGACAACCTATGGGGGTAGGACTCAGGCATAAGTATCTGTTGATGCTTCCAGGTAATTCCAGAATGCAGGCAGGTTTGGGAACCACTGAATAGAGGGTGGACCAGGAGTCAGCGACGATGGCTGAGCAGGCCAAATGCAGTCCTGTGCGTTTTTTGCTAATCAAGTATCATGGGCCCAAAGCCACACCCATGGCTGCTTTCCTTCTCCAAGAGCAGAGCTGAATAGCTGTGACGGAGAATGTGTGGCCTGCAGAGATGCAAGTGTTTACTACCTGGGCCTTTACAGAAAAAATTTTCAAATCGTTGGGAAGAAATTGGTTATATGGAACCTACCTCTCTCAGAAACCCAGTGGAGAAAAGGGTGCCTGGAGCAGTGTCAGTATGGAGCTCTAGGGCAGAGGCCTATTGATGACTCTTGCCCTTTGGAGTAGGGTGTCCATAATATGGTGAAGGACTGTTACAGGGTGTGAGCAGGGATACAAAGGCCAATGATGACAGATTTCTGGGTGAATGGCAGTATGGGTAGCACTTATTTGCCCCACCCATGTGAAATTGATGTACGATCAAGTATGTTGGCTCAGTGCAAGGGTGGGTTTGGATGGATGGGTGGGTTTGTATGGGTGGGTGGGTGGGTGGAAGGAAGGATAATGAAAAAGTATAAACTATAGTGCCAGTTTTGTGATACAGTCTAGTCAGAAGGAAAAATTAGACATAAAAGAAATTTGCAAACAGTACAGGACAGTACAGAAAGAAGTTTATATTGTAGAGGCTAGAAATGGAAGACATTTAGGAGGTCAGTAAGGGCTGTATGATAAGAACAGTCTCTTTGGGAGAAACTAATAGGTACTGAGTATCTAGTATACATAGGTACTTTCCACTGAATACCTAATTTAACTACCTGAAGAATTCCTGAGAGGTTGCTGTCCTACCATCTTCTCTGTATCCAATCCTGTTTTGTGTGTGTGTGTGTGTGTGTGTGTGTGTGTGTGTGTGTGTTTAAATGAGGAAAGATTGAGAGAAGTTAAGTAACTTTCTAAGATCTCACAGCTGCTAGACAGTGGAGTGTGATTTAATTAGTCTGGGATATGGTCTGGGCTTGGGAAGTTGGAAAAGATCCCCAGGTGATTCTGATGTGCACACATGTTTGGGAACCACTGCTCCATGTTGCTTCTACAATGATCTGTTTAAATAAAACACATCTGGCCCTGTCACCAGTACTTAAAGACCTCCCTAATCTTCTTGACCAGCAAATTAAATGGAGACAGATTGAGACCCAGATCTCCCTCGGTTTCCAAGGCTGTGTTTGTACACAACCATTTGCTTTTGCAAGAGTCAGAATTGAGGCTTTGGATGGATGTGATGAGTGGGCAGAACTTGGATAGGCAGCTGACTGGGAAGGGCCATGCCATCCTCCCTGATAAGGATTCTAGGGATGTTTATTTACCTATTAAAGTTGCTAAGTGCAGTACCTTGCAGTAAGTTGTATTTTTTTTTCCCTTCTCTTCTGTCCTTTCTCTAGAATAATGAAGAAGGTTGTAGGAAACCGATCTGGCTGCCCAACTGTAGGAGACAGAATTGTTGAGCTCATTTATATTGATATTGTAGGACTTGCTCAATTCAAGAAAACTCTTGGACCATCCTGGGTTCATTACCAGTAAGTGCTACATACTGTTCTTAAGTTTTTAGAGCTTTTTCTTTCTTTAACAAGGGTTACATGGTTGCTGGTAGAAAAAGCTTATCAAATATTATCTTTTTTTCTTTTTTTTATATTTGTCTCTTTTTAACATCTTTATTGGAGTATAATTGCTTTACGACAGTGTATTAGTTTCTGCTGTATAACAAAGTGAAAGAGCTATACGTATACATATATCCCCATATCTCCTCCCTCTTGCGTCTCCCTCCCACCCTCCCTGTCCCACCCCTCTAGGTGGTCACAAAGCACGGAGCTGATCCCCCTGTGCTATGCGGCTGCTTCCCTGTGTAGAGTGTTTCTCCTTCCTAATTGAAGTTCAGATTCTCCTCGGTGCCTTTTGACTTTCAAGTGCTGTTCATTTTTTCATTGATGTCTTTTAAAAATAGAAAATAGAAAATATCCAGCCTCCTTTTTACCTTCCCTAACACTTAGCTTGTCTCCGTTAGTCTGCCTACAATAATCTCATCTGTTTAATCAAATAGTGATTTTGATAAACTATGGACAGGGTCATTTCTTGTGTTCCTTAGGTTTGAGTTGATGACTTATTTCTCTGTCCCTTTCCCCCATGGGTATTCTTGTCATTCTTAGAAGAGAAATCTGGGCTTAGCTTGTCTGAATGCTGGGGTCTTGTACTTTTAAAGATAAGCCTCATGCTTATTATCACCAGAGTGCACGTGTTACTCTGTGTACAGTTTTTATTAGTAGAAGATCTCACTGTTTCCCTCTTGTGGGTTTGAGACCATGGTTTAGTATTTGAAACAGTTTGACATGGTACACAAGCATGACACTAAATAACATTGAATTATATAATGAAGTTTTTTAATTTTTTCAATTTCCTTTCAATCTTTCTAGAAAAGACTTAGTTTGATACTACTGTATCTCCACCACTACTTTTAACACTTGCATGACAGTAGCTGTAAGTCTCAACGTTCAGCAG